ATATATGTTATAAAAATACAAACTAACATAAATATAAAATCATTTATAATACTAATAAATATCAATAAGCATCTTCTAACAGTACATTACCAGTTACTTATGCAATTTGGTATCTAAATTAGTAAAACCGAACCATAAGTATTTTTCACTATTAGTGAAAAATACTTAAATATGGTTCGGTAAATATGGTTAAAGAATATAATTGTCGTCATAATAGTTGTTCCAATATTTCCAATATTATAGGGTTGAAATATTGGAACAACTAATATGACGACAATTATATCCTCTAAAAAAGAGTACATATAAAAAATAAATGTATTTTAGATTTAGTAAATGTAAAACAACCAAGTAACATTTTAACTTGATTAATTTTTAGTTTTATGAATTAATAAATTAACTTAAATTTCATTTATGTATTTTAATGTGTTTTTAAAAAATGTTTATTTCGTTTGCTCTTTTTAATTCCTAAAAGATAATAAAACTTTACATAGCTTATGCTTATGTAAAATGCTTATGTAACAGCACGTTGCTCTCTCTCTCTCTCTCTCTCTCTCTCTCTCTCTCTCTATATATATATATATATATATATATATATATATATATATATATATATATATATATATATATATATATATATATATATATATATATATATATATATATATATATATATATATAAATTAGTAGAAAATCACTTAGCAAAGTTTTTTCTCATTTAACATTGTATTTTTTCTCATTTAACACTACTAATTTGTAATTGCTCTGTTCTTTTAAAAACATTGAGCACTCTTTTTGTAGAATACATTTTAAATTGTTTAAATATATATATATATATATATATATATATATATATATATATATATATATATATATATATATATATATATATATATATATATATATATATATATATATATATATATATATATATATATATATATATATATATATATATATATATATATATATATATATATATATATATATATATATATATATATATATCCCAGTAAGCACAAAGACGTTTAAAAGACGTTTTAAAGATGTCTTTAAGGAGGTCTAAAAGGCGCACTTGTAGACGTCTAGATCATAAGGCTAAAAGACGTCTAAATAAAAACGTCTTTACAAAAACGCGTTTTAGACGTATTTTAGACGTTTTTTTCAAGATAAATTTAAGTTCATGACGTAACATTTTCGCGTAGTATGTGATATATATTTATTATATTTACAACGATATATATTGGTATAATTTCGTATATACAAGATATACATAGGAACCAGCAATCAAAATAATATTGCTGTAATCACCACCAACGGTTGATGCATCAAAGATGAAAATAATAATTAACAATAGCAAATATATATCAAAACAGTATTTTAAAACATTTATAACTTACCTTTAGTTATTATAAAATTTTAACATGCGTGACGCTAGATAATTTTTGACCGCATACTTGACTTATTATATGGCTTGTGGGTGTATAAAAACTAAAAATACTGATATTTAACTTATTTATTATTCTTTCCATTTTCACTTATCATCATGATCAGTCAACTATATTTATAGCAGCCGTGGCGCAGTGGTAGCGCACTTGCCTCAGAAACGTAAGATCCGTGGTTCAAACCCCACCTCTGGGCAAGTATGCGATATCTGTTGGGAAGGAGGCGTGAACTTCCCATTAAATGCTCTTCCGCGGTGCTCTGTAATAACACCGTAAGGACTTCTTGGAGCACCTTAATCAACTAAAAAGAAAAAAAAAAAAACTATCTATTAAAAAAGCAAAAAATTTATTAATAAAAAAAAGATATATTAATATTATAGCAATTGTTTTAGTGATTCCTGAGACAACAATTTTAGCAATTTTGTAAAAAAGTAATTTAATTTAAAGTAATTTACACTTAAAACTTGAACAAATTATTGAAAATAATAAAAACTATGTTTTTACTTTGAATAAACGACATCTACTTAACGCGTAATGACAAAGCCGTCAAAAAGACATATTTATAAACAGGTCTCAGAAAAGACGTCTTTTAGCCTTATGATCTAGACGTCTTTTAATCCGTCCTTTAGACTATTTATTATGCGTCTTTTAAACGTCTTTTTAAACTTAAAAAAGACGCATTTTAAACGTCATTTTAAAAACGCATTTATAAAAGACGCCTAAAATATGTCTTTAAAACGTCTATTAAAGTGCGTCTTTACCTAGACTAGTTTTAGACGTCTATAAGCGTCGAAAATGCGTTTTGTGCTTACTGGGATATATATATATATATATATATATATATATATATATATATATATATATATATATATATATATATATATATATATATATATATATATATATATATATATATATCAGTTTCAGCTGAAACATCTTAGAACCATTATTAGGACTCCTTAGATTAACCAATTATGAGTTATTAAGCATCTTTTTTGAATTGTCGATCATTACATTGTCGCTTTGAGTTATTCACATTTATTTTATTCAGTGTAGACAACGTGATTTTGAAATTTTTTTATTGTTGATCAAGTAAGTATCAATTTTATTCATGTTTGCTCAATTAAATCAATGTGTAATACGAAGTTCGATTATTAATAAGCAATGGTCATAATGTAAATTAAAAAAAACAAAAACATTTTCGATAAATTATGATACTACAGCCAATGACGCCAGACCGCAACCGGCTATAATGCTACATGTTTCTTTTTAATTTTCGATAATAAGGTTATGTATGTATGTGTTGCGATTGTGCTCAAAGCCTGTAGTTTACTGTAAACTGCTGTAATTTATTTTGAGCGTTTAAAAAATGAAATAATAAAAAATGAAATTATTTAGATTTTTAAAAAAAAGTTTATTTAAGTAACAACCGCGCTAATTGCATTAAGGTAAAATTTCAACATATGATTACGGGAATAATTTCCCCCGTGGAAGTGTTTTTTGTATGACTCTATAAGGATAGATTACTAAAGAAAGATTCAAATCAAAAGATTCAAGATGCAATCTAGATTCAATTTGCAATCAAAATTGCAATCAAAATTGCAATCAAAAAAAAGTTAAAAAATCTGATACTGAATCTAAACAGATACTCAGAATTCTTCTAAGACTATAAATTAAAATACATATATATCAACCACAAAGTGAACTGACTCGTTTATGTGTATTATCTAAATGACTCTTACCTTTCTCAAACAATATATCAAAAATTTGTTTATTACACACAAAATAAACACTTGATTTTTTCTTATCAAGTTTAGTTATTATGCTGCTTGTTATGCCTAATATTTTATACTGAGCTTATTTTGAGTTTACTTTTTATTATGAGCTTAATTTAAAGAGTATATAAATATAGTTGTACTTAATATATAATTATATTTAACATAATCATAATATATATCAAACACATTGTAAGGGCTTCGTGATAAGATCATTACGATCTTCTTGAAGTCCGGCCTGTACTATTTAATTATAAATTTCACTATATATTTTGACTCACGATACTTGTAAATATTACAACTTTTAATTTACGAAACTTGTAAATGTTATATGTACGGTAAATATATGAATAAAATAAAAAGAACTTTCAATTTTTTTTTGCGTCATTTTACCCAGCACCGATTACCAGAAGAAGTTTGACTGATTTTTGACGGACATCGCAGTCATTTAGGTATTGCTGTAATTGAGGAAGTTGAAAAGCAGAGTTGTTAACAAGGCCAAAAGTAGCAAGGCCAAGGCCACATGTTACAAGGCTAAGGCCAAAAATAAGAGTTTCAAGGCCAACGCCTACGCAAACATTTTCAAGGCCAAAAACTTAAATTTTTGCCATAAGTTAATAAAGTAATTATGTAAAATATAGAATGATTAACTACGTAATTAATTATGTAAAATAAAGAATGAAAACTTTGAATTCTTTAACTTTATGTATTTTATTATAAACGCCAAGGTTAAAACAATCAAGGTCAAGGCAAAAAATTTTAAGGCCAAGGCCAAAGTTTCAAGGTAAAGGCTAAGGTCAAGGCCTTAATTTTTGGCCTTAAGGCCAGGTCAAGGCCAAGGCCAAGACTAACAACTCTGCTGAAAAGTTAAACATTCGTATACTTAATGCAGTCATGAACTTTAACTTACAGACAAAAGGTGTTTTCAAACTATTTAAAACTTACTGGAATGCTGACATTGACAAACTCAGTAGAAAATTTCCGATGCAATAACTGTGAAAACTGCATTTTCCGCAATATTTACTAACGCATCGCTGCGTATCACTACACCAGTAATTACCTTATTAGAATTTAAATCTATAGGAATCTATCCTTTCAAACCTAATAATATCCTGAAAACAGCATTTTCTACCAGTAATGTTTTATATTGAATAAACGTCAAAAATCCTGATTTCATACGCATAAAACAATTAGAAAAGTAACACCTAGAAGGCCTTAAACATGCACTGGTCTTGTTGATTGAGCTTTAGTTGGAATAAAATGACTAAAACTTTTATTAATATTTTAAATTTAATCTGACTTATGAACAACTAAACATAAAAAAGTTAGTGGCGGACGCATAGGACGCATTTGAAGCTTATATTGCCATTATTACCTTTCTTCAAAAATAATGTTTCCTTAAAGTTATTTTAGTCGAGAGAAACACTTTTATGATGATACTTGAGCTAAATAGTTATACTACTTAACCAAAAAAAGAATATAAAAAACAAAAAATGTAATATTAACATAATAGTAATCACCAAAATTTAAAAGGGTCGCATTATTACTTTACCCAATAGATCTAAAAACGCAAAAGTTTAAAGTATGAATAAAATTGCCCCGTTATGGTCAAGTTCTGCGAGACTTTATCTTTAATGTTTTATTTTGAGTTTGTCTAAAATGATTAATAAAATAAAATGGTAGCTCAAATCATAACTTCTGATAAAAAATATTTCGCTACTTCATAATAACATGCATCATTAAACAAAAATGACATACAATATAAAAATATTCAGAATAAGAACAAAACATATATATTTTTTAAAGGTAACAAGTACTCATATAAAACAAAAATTTTTACTCATTCGGGTCCAGGTAATAAATTTGTATTACTTTGATTTTTAAAACGAATTTTTTTTTTTAATGTTCATCCCGGGAATAAGTGCAAAAATTTGCTAATCACTCAAAATTCAAAAAAGCATTACAGCTTAATTTTTTTTAATTTATAGTTCTATGATTAAAATTTATTAATTCAAAAACAAATTTACTGTTTCTCAAATTGAAAAACTTATAACACTTTTATGTTCTTAATGAAAAAAAAAACTCAAAACTTTAAATATCTAACGCATTTTTAATAAAAAGCATAATCATAATAATGTAAATATTTTTGTTAAAAACATTAAAAATACCTTATTTCTTAACGCGTATAGATGTTGGTCTAAACTAAATTTTTTAGATTTTAACAATTTTTTTGTCTATTACAAGACAAAGTTAGTTTAAAAAACCAATTATTATTGCACTTCCTCACCAAACATCTATTTTGCAAATTTATAAAATAAATAATTGTTAAAGCGTTAAAATAAGAAAATAATAAAGTGTAAATTTAATAATCTCTAAGAAACTAAATTGGAAATAGCCAAGCAGATTAAAAATTTTTTAATTTGACTTCTCTGTTAATCACTTTTTTGTGAGTGTGTTTATAACGTTATTCAGCAATTTGCCTTATTGACACCCATCTCATATTATTACAAGACAGTAAACGTAAAAATAAAAATTAAAAAAGTGTTCTAAAAAAATTTATTATACAAAAATGTCATAGAGAAACCAACCTGTGAAACTAGAAAACGAAATTACGATAAAAAATTAAAAAAAGTAAAAAGAATAAAAGACAAATACCGCTTCTTTATTTATTTCTATTTAGTTATATAAACCTTAATATGAATGCATTCAAGTTTTTTGAGTTATTCTCAACTTTGTCACTTGTATGTGGATTAACACCATGGGAATTTAACGGTACTACTCCAGGGATTAAGGATATTATTATAGGACGTTGCTCTCAATTTCAGCAGCTAAATTCTCAAAACCGAAACCCAGCGTTGTATACTGATGTTGATTGCACAAAAGTTTGGAACTTATTTTCTAATAGTTTTTCGTTTAAAGATACCTGTCGTAGTGGTGAAATTACTGAAAAAAATTATGAACCACTCTTTAATTTAATTGGAAGCAAAGTCCCATTAACTAATCAGGTAGAATTATAGTTTTTAAAAGTCATATATATATATATATATATATATATATATATATATATATATATATATATATATATATATATATATACATTTATTTTACTTTCTAGGCTTTATTTTGGTCTGGAACCCGCCACATTGTGCATGAGTATACTTCCGTAGAAAGCAACTATTTTACACTTGAAGATACATTTCCAGGGTAAATATGAATATTCTACTTAATTCAGGGGCACCCGTGGCTCCTGTTTTTACCAACCATTTTAATATAAATTTTATTTATTTTGAAAAGTGAATAAAAATCGGTTAAGTTAAAGAAAGATATATTACGCATAATTAATAAATAATGAAACTATAAGCGCTCGTGGTGCCAGTTTTATCAAATACTTATATCTATAAAGATTTTTTTTTAACTATCTAAAGTTTATAAAACATTTAAAATCCTAAAAATGTCATCCTTCTCCTCATTTAAATAACATAGAATAGAAATGACGCTGCAACTCAGATGAGTTGAAACTGAAATCACTTAGAAGTTTTGTTCTAAATAAGCCAAAAAGTTTAACAACGATTGAAACAATATAAGTTCTAAAATTTGATGTTTAAAGTTTGAAATGTTTATCAATGTGGTCCTTAAATTGATTAACGCTTGTTGAATTTTGTTGATTTCTTGTTTATAAGTGTGTTTAAATTCAGAAATTTATCAGACAATTAATTTTGTTAAAATAATCATTAAATTTCTCGTAATCTCCTTTGTTATAGAGTAGTTTTTTTTATTGGTGGTTCTTTGGTACATCTTTATCATTCCTATTTTCAGATTATGAATAGTTGAATTTGAGTAAGGGGTAATAGTGCTCAATTACCCCTAAAGGTGGAAGATGAGTGACTAAAAATACTCTGTTTTCACATTTGTTTATTTTCAAAATCTAGCACATTACTATCCGAACCAATTTTTCTTGGAATGTTGGAAAACATTTTAAAACAATTATTTATCACTTGGAACAAAAATTATCACTTAGATAATCCATGAACATTTTTGCATGAATATCCTTATTATATTGAAGTAAATAGTAACTTTCATACCAACTTATTGACGGATAATTATAGCAGGTACCCGAGCAATTATATTTTTGACACAAATTACAAACTTGTTTAGTTTAGCGGATTATAGATGAATTTTTTATTTTAATATCTGAACTTGGACTTACAGATAGATACAGCCAAAAATAATCTTTTCTGAGCCAACTTGAAGAAAACATCAAATTTGCTCTATTATTTTAAAGTTTAGTATATCGTCGTCTATATCGTAAGATTTGATGTTGTTTTTAATATAAATACCAACTCCATCTTCTCTACTACCGCTGTCTTTTCTAAAAAGATTTAGATCTGTAATACTTGTAGATGAGGTGTCTGACAATCAATTTTCACTTATAATTACAACCGAAGGATCGTGTTGAGTAATTTCAATTGCCAGATCGTTTAGCTTGTTATTTAAAGACGCTGCATTTGTTTATAAGCATGTTAAATGATTGATTATAAGCATTTTAAATGATTGTTTATAAGCATTTTAAATGATTTGCTCAAGTCGGTTGAATGTTCTTTTTGTAAACTTATATCTGACTTTTTGTGATTACTAATAAAGAGTAATTGTTTTTTGATCTTTTGAATTGTGCTGCTCCTGATACCATAACACTTGCCTCTGAAAAAAAAGGACCCGTGGTTCAAACCCCACCTCTGGACAAGTTTTGCGACATCGGTTAGGAAGGAGGCTCATCTGCGGTGCTCTGTGAAAAGACAGTATGGACTTCTTAGGGCACCTAAATAAAAAATTAAAAAATAAAATTGGAAAATCATAATCTAATTTGTGCCCAGTTAGATTATGATATTCCAATCTGTTTTATTTTTATGTTGCCGATATTACCGAAACTCTTTGTTCCGCTGATGATAACTCAACAAGTATTGCTCTTTTATCATTTCGGATGTTTACTGTTGGTTTAAATCGTTTTATATATATAATTTTATTGGTATCCATATTTATATCAGTAAAGATATGTTTAACTTCTGCAAAAGCAGCTTCCTCCTTTTCTTTACCAGTTCCAGTTGATTCAGAAACACCAGGAGTAATAACTTTTTTTTAAACTCTTTTAATGATACTTATTTCTTGAGGCATGAACTTACTTCTTACGCCACATTACTCCATGTTTTATGATTAAAGTTTTTTTAATCTTTTAAATAAAAATTTTTTCACTTAGTTTTCTTTTTTTTTTCCACTTAGGTGCCCATATAGAGGTCTATTAAATACAGTTAAAAAAAAATCTCTAACAAACTCTGAATACAATAAAATAATTCTAGTTGAAAAATTACAACAGCTGTCGTTGTAAATCAGAATTAAAAATATAAAGAGCTTTATCGACATTCTGTATATTTGTAAGGAGATATTTAAAAAATATGTCGCAAGTACATTAGCAGAATGTAAATTATGCCACAAAAATGTTAAATGTGGTTGCACCCCCAAAAACTTTTGGCGGATGTGTTTTTGATTCACGTGTGATTAAAACTTATTTTAGCCGTTTTTAATAGAAATTAACTAAGAAATGCTACCCTCCCCTAACCTCGTGAATCAAATACACCTTCGCCAAACTTTTAGCAACAATCCATTTGCATTTTAAAAAATATCATTTGGATACATATGATGAAGCTAAACAAGAAAAAAATAAAAAGCTGAAACACCAGAAGAGAGAATGTTAGAAGCGATTAAGTTGCAGACGCAAACTAGCATAAATGATTTTGTTCCTAAAAAGGTTTAAAATATAAAGAACTTGTGCTTCTCCAAAGTTAAACTTTGATTAAGTTTGGAGAAGCACAAGTTCTTTATATTTATTATATAAAATTTATTACTCTTTGATTCAAAGAGTAATAAATTTTATTGCGATAAACAATCAATCTTTTCTGTAGTTGAAGTCAGGGGTTCAATGCTTTGATTGCTTAGTTGCAACCACAACACCCAATTTCAAGTAGAGTAGAGTTTTTAAGAAAACAATACTATCATATTATATGAAAAATTAAAAACCGTAGTATTTTTTTTTTTCTTAAATGCAGTGTCGTGGTGGGTGGGAGACCTCCAAAAAAAGAAAACATTATCGCCGCAAAATTTTAAAAATTTTTCCACTAGATATTTATAAAAAAAAGAAACAAAAAAGCTCTTTAAATTTGCAAAAATGGACCCTACGTTTCCAGATAGACCCCCTAAAATACTATCTCCCTCCCCCCTCCGATTGAGGAATATGGGGAAGCATAGCCACAGCTCTGATTTAATTACATTTTTGTAGCTGATCATATTTCTTTTACAACAGATACCTGGGCAAATACCCATAATAATGATGCCTTTGTATAATTAACTGCTTGTTGGATCACAAATAATTTTATTAGAAAAATTGTATTCTACACTGTAAGCATTTTCCAGAGTCTCAAATTAGAATAAGTATTTCAAATTCGTTTAATGTGATAATGATTGCTTAGAATACTTCCAAATATTCTAATGTTCATGTAATATAAGAATCATATGTTATATTTACTATAATTTAATGATTATATTTTTAAATAGTTAAACTTTTATCAGTTTTGTATAATATTATTTATTATATATAAAGTTATATTATTAATTGTTTATAATATTATTATCTATATAAATTCTTGAATATTTCTCATCAATTTTTTTATTAGCTACATCGCTAATGACTTAAAATGGTGTGGTTGTGAAAATTGTTTATATGGAATTGATTATAACAGCTGCAATAGGTCTTGCTCCTTAAGTACATTAGACTCATACTGGTCATATGCTTCAAGATTGGTTAGTTTTTTTTGTTTTTTTGTTTTAATAATCTTGAATTTTAATAATCTACTTTACAATTTATTATTTAGTTTGCCCAAAATGCTAAAGGAACAGCATATGTTATGGTAAATGGAACTACAAGTTCTGGTTTTACTGCATATTATAATATGAGGTTTGTTGTATCTTTATACTCCTACTGTAGCAGTTAATTATTTAAAATAATAAATATTAAAATTTTTAATTGTTTAGGTGTATAATAATTGGTGTAAAAAAAAAAGGTGTAAAAAAGATAATTCCTTTAATAATGTATGATTTTAATTATATAACAACTATAAAATTTTATTATTAAAATGTTTTTTATATTTCAAGTTATTTTGGAAAAATAGAGTTACCAACTATGGGTAAAATGAAGCAAGTAAACCGATTAGTCGTAGTTGTGGTAAATGACCTTGATGCAGAGTTAAAGTAGGGTATATTTTATTTTTTGTTTGTGGTTTTATTTTTTTCTTCTGGTTTTTTCTGTTTTTTTTTTTTTTTTTTTTTTTTTTTTTTGTATGGGTATAAATTATAGTTGAACTCAATTATTTCAAATTCTTAAGGGGTCTCAAACTATATTCAAGAAACAAGATTTTTTGAATTATTTGGAGTTTATTATAAAATAATACAAATGACCTTTTAAAATATATGAATTTGAATTTAAGGAGTTCAAGTGTATAAACAATTTCTAGTAATTAAAAAATACTCTGAATTGGTTGAGTTTTAAGCTTAACAATTTTAGGCAAATTTGTCAGCATTCTTTATAATATATATGCAAACAACTTTAAAACATTCTTTATAATATATATATACAAACAACTTTAAACTTTAAAAAAAAATCACAGATAACTTTTATTGTCTTTATAATCTAAATATTAGTTATTTAATTGTCAAACTTCACATTGCTGACTTAGATTTCTAGTCACAACTGATTGAGAAAAAAAGTGTACATATTCTGAAACACGTTCTCAGTGTTTTGATAGCGATTGCATTTGCTTTTTTTGCTTTTGAACAAAAAAAACAATATTTATTGTTATTTCATTTATATTTTACATTTGAAAATAAGAGGAGGAGAGGGAGTTAACATCTCTGAAAATTTAAATACTAAAAAATAGCTACAATCATAGTTTGAGCAACTTTTGGTATAGGTAAGAGTTTTTTTAATTTTTTTCCTGAATCAGTAATGATGAGTTTTCTTTTTTTTAGGTTCACCAGATATTTTTATTGTTTTTTGATTGTCATGAATCATCAATAGCTTATCATCAAAAAAATTAGCTTCACTTTTTCTAAGTAATAAAGCAATTTTTTATCTTTTACCTATAATATAGTGATAAACCGTGGAGATATAAATAAATTTTCAATACTATGCGTATATGCTTCTGCAGGCAGAAAGATGTATCTTACATTTGTCAAATGTAAGGACATCTGCATCTGCTTTGGATTGCATTTAATATTATGTAGCTAATATTCTTTTTTTTTTTTTTTCTACGTTTAACACTGTTAATTTATCTGTTTTCTTAAATCTTGGAAAATTCTTTGAACAGGATGAACGTTTTTTTTGATAAATGCTCATCTTGTTTTGCCAAACACTTGGTGTTTAAACCGCTCATGCAAATATCACAAATATTTTATTTTTGAATCTTAGTTTTTAAGAATGTCCTTTTGGTTTAGTTTAATTCATGGCATCATGCAGAGTAATATCAAACAAAAAAACTGAAAGATTAATGTAGTCAAAATTTAGCTTGTTGAGCTGATTTGATACAAATCTTATTTTGAAAGATATTCTTTTGTTTTTTGAATAAGTTTTTAAACTTGTGAACAATCATTCTTTTATAAGCAACAAGAATTTCAGCTCCAAAATTCACAAATTTTCTAAACAAGGTGTTTTATAGATTTCTGTTAAATGTTTTCCTTTTTATGGCAAAAGGAAATAATTTCAAAATTTCCTTGATTTTAGGTTAAAATCTGACATTAAATTGGGCCTCGTTATGCAGAATGCTATCAGCCCACTCATACTTGGATTTAAGATAAATGAGTTAAAATTTATTTTGAATGTTTCAAAATTTTGCGTTTATAATAAAATCTTAAATAAAATAAATTTTTTTTTAACTAATTTATCTGCTTAATATGGACCGTTGTTGCGATTCTTTAAAGAGATAAAAGAGTTTAACTTTTGTTTAAGCCATATTGATAACAAATGCCGCTTAATGTTATTGTTGTTTTTCAACTTGAAGCTTGTAAAACGATAAAATCTTAAAATGTGTTTTACAATTAATGTAACTATTTATATGTAGATTTTGGGTTCTATTAAACAAAATTGTATTTAAAAAAAAAAAAAAAAAATATTGGACACAAAATTTTACTATATATTTATAATGTATTTAAAAAATTAAATAAATTTTAAAAATTATCATTTAACTTTTTTTTGAGGTTTTGGATCGAGTTAAATTTAAGTTTAAAATTTATGTTTTGAATTTTTTAATGATAATCTACATCACTAAACAGTTAAAAGTTTTTATAAAAATATGAAAGATAATAATATAAAAATATGAAAAATAATAATATAAAAAATGAAAGATAATAATATAAAAATATGAAAGATAATAATATAAAAATGATTTCAACTTTAGTAGAATAGCTTATTTAAAAAAATTTCTTATTTGCCAAATTACTCAGTATACTAAAACTAAAAATAATGTAAACATATTTAAAGTTACAGATATATGAACTTGAAAATAAAAATAATTAACTAAAAAAACGTTTTTTAAGTTTGTATTCCGAGCTAATATTGCTATTACCTTTTAGAGAGAAATGTGGCGAAGGTTCTCTAGTTAACTTGGTTGAGGATGCTATTAAAGCTGGAATTAAAAAAGTTGAATGTATTGATCAACCAAGGTATTGTTAAACTAAGTTTTTTTAAATAGTTAATTTAATTATTTTTATTTAAAACAAATTGTATTTAAATTATTTGTATTTAAAACAAAAACAATTTTGTTAATTTAACAGACTACTATATCACATATACTAGTGTGTTTATAATCATCTAGAGTGTTTACAATCATCTAATTTGTTTATAATCATCTCGTGTGTTTATAACCATCTAGTGTGTTTATAACCATATTTTTTTTATAACCATCTAGTGTGTTTATTACTATCTAGTTTTAAAGGACATATTTGTATTGTTTTGTTTTACCAAAAATATGTCACCTTGGGTGGTTATATTTTTTTAGGATTTTAAAAACCAGAGACTATAATAAAAGAATTCTGCTGTTTTCTCAAGGGCCACTTTCTCAATTATCCTCAGGGTTAGCAGGTATAGAGTATCTGCCATGAACCTTAAAAATACATAATTGTTAAGTTTATAAAAAGAATTTGAAAACTTACTTTCATATACATATTCATAAAAATACTAAAAATAAAATTATTATATTTATACTACCATCAGAATTATTTAAATTGTCATTCTTTTGGATATAGATATCAAAGTTTTACTTACTACTGAGAGAAAAAATGATAACAAAATCTACCTGAATTGTGTGTTATCTTCCTATTTACTAGGTTTACAAAAAAATTAATATAAATTCGCATTAGTTCATAATTTATTTTAATTTTATCCCTCTAAATAGTAAGTTTTTCTACATTTTATGCATCACTAGGCATACTTTTTTTTGCATCACTAGACATACTATTTTTGCAAACAACCTCTCTTGAAACCAAAGATTTAGAACTTTGACATGTCGGTCCACATTTTCAGTCATTGACGGTCCATCTTTTATGTAGTTTTGCCCACTTTAGCATCTTTATTATTCTTATATTTCTTATATTCTTATGTTTTTAATTTATTTAGTAGTGCAAAAATTAACATAAATAATAGTTAAATAAAAAATTGCATTTTTAAAAAAAGTTAATATCATTTGAATAATTATGCACATTTGTTCCAACTGTATTTAACTTCATGAAATGCTTCAGATTGATAAAAAGGAAATGCTGGTACATCTCAGTAAAAGTAAAACTAGGTCATAAAACCTTTTGTAGTTGTTTAGTAACCCAATATTTAATACCCCATTGTTAAGTAACCCAATATTTAATACCCTATTGACAACTTCAGAATCTCCTTTGGGATATTATACAAGTATGATTCAATTTGTAGTTCATTCCTATCAATTCTGATCTCCATTTAGTTCATTTCTTTCTTGATATTTGGTCAGTTTTGTAGTCTTATAAAATGAAAGATATGTACCTCAAAAATGTGTCACCTGCAGAGAAACCAAAACATGGAAATGTAGACAATTTTTGTAAGGAGCATTTTATTTTCAGTATTTTTTCTTCTTTCATACCTAGATCTTCAATTTGCCTAAATCTTTTTTGTCAACAGAGTTTTTGAAGATAGATACATCTTTAAAATCTTTTTTTTTACAGATTGCTGGAATAATTGCGGGTTAATTAGTTTCTGATCCTAATACTGCAGAAATACAACACACCAGATCCTTTCTTGTCCATTTCTGTAATTTTCATATTCACTATTCTCTGTCACTGATGTCTATTTTTAACATATTTTTCAAAATTTCGTTTTTTTTTTTTTTTTTTAATTATATACATTTTTTTATCTTCTTTCAAATAAAAACTGAATAACTACTGCTTAAGCTTTCTTTTTGGGAATGCAAAATCAGCCAATCAGATCTTCTTCTCAATTTTCTTCTCTTTTCAGATCAGATCTTCTCAAATTTCCCCATATGAAGAATTTTCTGCATCTTTGTGAATGTTATCTATGCTAGAATCTCAGTTTAGATTTCTCAGATTGATTAGTTACTTGGTGTATAAATTTGTGTTTTATAAAATCCTATTTAAAGTTTTATTAATTCCCTAAGTTTGATTATATTTAATTATTCATTTTTTTGTTTGCTGATCTTTACATTTGTTTATTTACCTAATAAAAATTACATTATTTATGAACTGGATCAGCAGCTCTAGAAATAATCAGCAGAAATAAAGAAATTTTCAAAACTAGCATTGTTTCACACATCTATCATAAATGACGTAAGACAACCACTGTTAAAGTTTTACAGGATCCACACTTGCAGATAAGATTTTTGTCTGGAAGCCTTTTAAAGCAGGCTTCATTTAAAAGTCCAGTGAGACTTCGCAAACTCTATATTGGAGCACATTTTCTTTGCTTGATAGCTGGTTTGCAGGCAACTGTTTGATAGAGCAATTGGGAAGAAACAGGATCTTTTTGGGTTTGCTTGTATCATCCTCATTTCTTCTTTAATCTTGTCTTTTGTGCACCCATTTTAGAAAATACTATAATATATCAAATTATATAACATTTTATATAATTTATATTTTCAATTGACCAAGTACGACTTAAACTGGCTATCACACTAATAATAATAACTTTCAACTTACGAATTTCCAATAAGTTTGTTAAAAATATGACATAAGGAAAATTTTAATATAAAATAACTAGATACTGACAAAACTAATAAGTTTTTGAATATAGTTTAAGTTATATTATATATATATATAACTTAAACTATTTATTATGTATTATTATTCTTTATTTGTATTTAACCTCAGAGGTATTTCAGAGAATGAGAAAAACTTGACAAATTTCCTGAAAAAAATTAAAAGTATGTTTCTAGGGCACCCTTATATATATTGCCCAAAAAATGTACAAAAATACCCACCCAAATGTACTATACTCAAGGGATATTTTTTAAGGTCGGGAGGTTGCTTTTTATGTCTATTATCTTTCAATCTAGTTATTAATAGTTTTTTTGTATTTTTTACAACAATTTACAAATTTTTACAATTACAATCTTATTTTACATTATTACAATATTATTGTATATATTATAATATTATTACAATATTATTAATATTATAATATTATTACAATATTATTAATATTATAATATTATTACAATATTATTGATACAAGATCAGATTTCTTTAATCCTCATTTTATTAAAATGAACTATTTTATAAATTTATATTATAATGTATTATAATTTATTTTATAAATTTATATTTATTAAAATAATATAAAGTTCATTTATGATTTTTTTTTAATATTTTTTTTGTTTAATTTTTCATATAACTCTAGAGTTTATTTTTATTACATTGATAAAATTTTATTTTTTTATAATATTTATATTTATAACATTACAGGGCTACAATATTTTTGTTATGTGCTAAATATCCAAATTCAAAGCAATGTCTTTCAATGCTAAATTAAAAAAATATCAAGTAAGTATCTACATTTAAAAGTAAGAACCTTTTTTAACTAATAGTTTCTATTTGTTGTTGTAACTTATTAAAACTTAATATTAAAGCATGGTTTTTTCTATTTTACTTAACGTTTTTATAATTTCTGGTTTAGGACGCTTATTAGTTAAGTTAATCTGAAAATATCCTACATATTATAAAAAACATAAATGTTATTTATATACTATAAAATTTCTTCCATATAAAATGACATGTCCCAGTTAAATGAAAAGTCTTTTTCCTTAAAGTATCACCTTTTTATAGGTTAATATTAATTATTATAATGATATTAACCTATAAAATAATATAAAAATCACTCTTATACAAAACCTTAATTTAATTTTAATTAAGGATGGCAATCCTCCTAGTATCACTATAAAATACTCATTCTTTAAAACAGATAAGCGCAAGAAGGGGCATCTCGTAGTAAAATATTGCTTTATATATTAGCAAAAACTGCTTTATATATATATATATATATATATATATATATATATATATATATATATATATATATATATATATATATATATAAAATAAATTATATATATATATATATATATATATATATATATATATATATATATAAAATAAATTATATATATATATATATATAAAATAAATTATATATATATATATATATATATATATATATATATATATATATATATATATATATATATATATATATATATATATATATATATATATGTATATATATATATATATATATATATAAATCGCATTATGACGAATATATTTGAGGAAATTTTTATATATATATATAAATATAACTGCATGATATTCAAAACACCCTTTACACCCTATAGAAATAAGTGCATGATATTCAAAACACCCTTTACACCCTATAGAAATAAGTGCATGATATTCAAAACACCCTAACACCCTACACACCCTAAACGCGTTATATACACAATGGGTTGAGTTAAAGCATGGAAGTATAAAACAGATGGAAGTTCATCGAGCCGCAAACATCAAAGCAATTTCAAGTCGTCTCGAGTATGCTTGTAACCGACAATTAAAAAAAAAACAAGTTTCACTGGATAAAAAAATAACAAAATTCACTGAAATGATCTTTATTAAAACATTAAAAAATGAATTATTCTAGGGATATGTTGCAAATTTTTAACCATTAGTATTTGCAATATTTCAACAAAAGATTTATTAAAACTCGGTAATTAAATAGAACCACTTGATTTTAAAAGCATATGTTAGTTTAAGCTTCTTTTCTTGCTTCAAGTCATAACACGACGTTTGATAAAAAAGATAACTAAAACAATTTTTAAAAAATCAAAAAAGTTGTTTTTTAAGTAACTAAAGTTTATAGTTTTATTAGCTGTATATGATAACTCCATTCATTCTTGTAGTACTCCATTCATTTAATATAAAGTTTATAAAAAAGTTGTTGTTTGCCGTTACGTTGCGTCATTTTTAATGTTTTTCTTGAATATTATTGGCGAACCTTCAAAATACTATATTTTTAAATTATTATAAACGTATCTTTTTGTGTCAACGTTTAAAAATTAAGCGTTTAAGTACAGTCTTGATGTCGTTTTCTTATTGTTTACGAAACAAAAGGTTACAAGCATAGTCCCAAAGAATTTCAATGCGGTTGAACTTCCATCTGTTTTATACTTCCATGGTTAAAGTTACCTAATTTGACAATCGCGCATTTTGAGAATTCTAAGATTGTATAGACACTACTAACATTTTGGCGGTTTATAATACATTAAAAAATGAGTGAATCATCATGTATGAAAAAGGCATGAAGCATCTATTTGTTTATTTATACATCACTATAAATATTCTCAAAAGTGATTCAAATGACAATTGCAACTTAGTTGCTTTTAAAATATCTTTCGCGAGTTGAAGCAACTAAACTTAAGATTGACGAAAATGCTGTATTTTACGTGCTAAATTAAATATGGATTATATTAAATATCAAGGGCAACAATCAAATTGGTGATGCAAATGGAAATGGTTATGACGCATAAATTGATAGAACCCCATGTCTATTCTTTGAAATTTTATTACATGAGTCAATTGATTCATGTTCGACGTGATGCATTTAAAAAAATTAATTTTGTGATAATTGCAAAAAAAAATTTATCCCGAAACAGCTTAATTTTAACGAAGGCAAACAATTAATCTTTTGTTGTGGCACTTGTTAACAATTTTTTTTTACTCTAACGCTTGTGAGCAATATTGTAATGTGTTGTAAATTGTGTGTTATCAGTTGGCACCTAATATAAGCTCCCCATTCCCATGTTAAATTTCTATTCCCAAGTAATACACTTAAGGTCTTCATATTTTCTTAATTATTGATTTATTCAACTATTTCATTTAAAGTTTGACAAAATATTTTCAATGCCAAGTGTTCATACAAATTAAAAAGATTAAAACTTAACGTAAATTAAAGACTGTATTTATGTATTAATTTATATGTATCCGTTTATGTTTTAAAGCGTCCATTTCATTGGTCCCTATCCTCTATAATTATATGTTATAAACAATATAAAAAGGCTATATTTATAAATAATACAACAATTGTTAAGATCATATTGTTTAAAGTGTTAATTTTATATTGTCATTGTGGCATATTTTTAACATAAATAGTTATATTTTCCTCATTTTCTTAAAAACCATTTTATTTTTCAAAAGAAAAATGTGTGTGAAATGTGTTTTGGGGTACAGATCAATAACACTAGTAATATATAAATGGCATCATGTGCACAAGCGGTAGCTTCGCAAACCATTTAAATTTAGAACTAGGATAAACTTTTGAATCGGGTCTATAATTTATAGTAATTGTTTATCGAAAATTAACATTTCTCAAAATTAATCATGGAAAGGGGTTGAAACTATAATGGGTGAAACTATCGAGTTTGTAAGTAATAATGGTGAAAAAAATGATGATATTACGTTGAAATGTTGCTAAAGTGATACTAATAGCAAGTATGAAGATAAACCTTAATTTGTGTTTATTGTATTGTCTATTTTAGGCTCGAATCAAAAGTTATCGATCTATTAGGTTTTGCAAAAACAATTTTGATCAATCTAAATCAGATTAGTCTATGTAAACAAAAGACTTATCAAATCTTATATCGTCGCATTAGAATTATAGGGTTCTATCTGCCTTTTTTTATGTTGTGAGAACTTAACTTTTAATATTTATTTAATACATGTTTTACAGCTGTTATTCATTATAATTATAAATTATAAGTTGTTTATGTTATCTTTATTTCAATATTTAACATTTTATATTAAACCACTTAAAAAATGATATATAATATATCATTTTTTAAGTGGTTTGTTTTTATTATTAACTATTAATTAAAACTTTGGTTGTTAAATTTTTTCAACATAAAACAAGGCAGATAGAACCCTATAATTCTCATGCGACGATATGTCCTCCATTTATATCTTTTTATTTAAAAAAAAGCATCTGTCCTCATTCCTTAATTTTTTTTATCAGTTCTCATTAACTCGCTGAACATTCCTAAAACTTGAATTAAAGAGACTTCAAGTCCTAACTATATAACGAAATTAACAAAAAGTTTTTAAAAAGTTAACCAGGGAGTCTATAAAAAAGCATAGATTATGTAACTAGAACTTATAAAAATAACACGTGTGTCTTCTCCCTGTTACGCAAAGTTCATTAATTAGGGTAATATCAAGACCAGATTAAATCATAGTTAATATAAAATTATTTATTAATTTTTTTTTTTAGGTACGAAGACTTGAAAATTGGAAAATTTAAAAAAAAAAATGAAATAAAATGTCGCGGCATGTTAAGAAAGTTTGATAAACATGGAAGATACATTTCCAAAAGAAAAAATTATTTTTAGACTACATAAAGAAATAGAGAAAAAAGATATTTTAAAATAGAATTGATGTTTATAAAAATAAAAAATTAACAATGTTAAATAATGTTTTTTTTATCCATTTTTCTAGAAGTTTTTAATTGTATATAATTCATGTTTTAATTGTTGAAAATCTATTGTTATTAAAAACGATTGTGCACGACCATTTTATTTTCCAACGAAATGCGTGTTGTACACATTTTTTTTCTTTCTGTTATTTCACCTCCCCAAAGGCCGAAAAGGCCACTACAAACGAGGAGGCTACTTAATTGTGGTTATAAACCCTCTCTCAACTCCGAAACACGAACCTTGACGAACAAGGCCGCTGCGCGGAGAAACAAGATTGTACTCCATACCCTTTAAAACGCAGTAGTAAAGGAGTTTTTAACAGGTCAACACATGTTATCACAAAGTTATGAGCAGGTCAACTTTATTACAAAAGATTATAGAATTCATATGCAGCTGTGAAGTAGGTGGTAGGTTGGCAATCGAAAAATGATTGTCTAAAAATATCCACCAGGCGTTCCTAATATTATCTAAGAATTCAACTATTTTCTTGGAATTAAATTGAATTTTTTTTAACATATTAAAAAAGGGAGTTATTTTTGACAAAAATATACTTGTCGAAAAAATTGCATTTTCATATAAACTTCATAAGCTGAACTTTTTTTTCTAGAAGACATATTTTAAGTACATGCCTCCATCTTTAACGTAAAAATTTCTTTTTAAAGTGATTTTAGATTTAAATTTACTTTGCTTGTCAGAACCAAATGTCCTTTAGTTTTGTTTGGAATCTCACCAGAGTTATTTGCATAAATTACATCAAATTGATATACACTTTTAACTCTAATTAATTGTTCTTTTTTTTTTTTTTTTTTTCTTCTGTTGTTCTGTGTGAAAGGCCGGCGCGATTGGGGGTGCGGGGGTGTGACACCCCATACCCCATCAATGATTTTTAGTCTGCAAATTGGACCCTTAGTCGGCAAATTGGACCCTTTTAGACTAGTTAGTCGGCAAATGTCGACCCTTTCAATATAGGTTAGACAGTCGGCAAATGTCGGCATGGCAGTCAGCAAAAGTTGTAATAACACCCCCTCCCCCCCCACGTTACACCTACTCGCGCTGGCCCTGTCTGTGTGAACTAATACGTCAGGTTTTTCTTTAATTAAATTAAAGAAAAACCTGTTTTAATTAAAACATTAAATAAATGTACACATTATATAGCTGTTATAGATCAACATTTTTTTTGCTATGCAACCTACTTTTTTAAGTAGTTGTCAGCTTACCGTGTTATTATTGTTATTATAGAAAACAATCAGATTAAAGTGCTTTGAGGTTTTAAGTTATCCACGAGGAAAATAAACAAGCAGTTACAAGAAATAAAATTTCTGTATATGTTACTAACACCACTTTAATCAATTACATATTTAACATATTTACAGAGCAACTTGAAAATAAGACTAAGAGATCAATTATGTTCCTTTATTTAAACTTTTGGAAGCATTAGAAAACTCTTTTTTTGTTTACATCTACTTCTAATGCTTTTTTTTTTTTTCTGGAATCTTAATCACGGAATTTTTTTTCCGAAAGAAGGTGAATTTACAGTTCTTTGTAAACTTGTGAAACAGAGTTTCCCGAAATTCAAAATTAAATTTCAGAGGGAGTTTTATTTGTTTCAAATGTAGGGCTGACAGAACAACTTTAAAGTATTTCGGAAAAAAATTTAAACTTTTTTAAACTTTTTAAAAATAGTTTAAAAAAGTTCTAAAACAAAAACTGAAAAATCCGAAATAAAGGGAACAAGTTAAGTAGGGGAGTGTGAAACATCATGATACATGGGATATTGTAACCGTGGAGGCATATTAAGAGTTGAGATAAACACTTTTATATGGTGAAATAGTTACTAGTATAGCTGTTTTGACAAAAAAGTTATATCATTTGACAGCATAAGGCTTGCGAAGGGTCAAAATTTAAGTTTTTTGATGACAAAGTAAATTATTACGTTTGTTAAGTTTTAAGGTATTTTAATCAATGTGTCTATCGGTAAGTAACATTATTTTCTAAACTAAAATTAATAGGCTCTTTACTTCATTAAACAAAATCATTTAAAAAACGATTTAATACTAAAAAAAAGAAGCAATTATTTTCTTCTTTTTTAAGTTTTATTTGGGTTCTAAGGTACGTATGCTCTGAGGTAAGTACGAAATAACTTAATACAATATTTGTGGGAGCCATAAAACTATAAAATTGTACTCCTTGTGTCATGAACAATTCTAAAAATCTTTTTTTTTAATATTAACAGTTAACTTTCAAAAGATTTATGTAAATATTATACTAAGAGATTGATACAAAGCCATTATTTATTGACGCTTTAGAATGACATTTAACAAAATATATTTTCATGATTTCAGAAATTTAACCGTTGGATGCACTATTTGGGTTATAATTATTAAATTGATTGTCTTTAAAGTAAAAACTGGCCTTTTCTCTACGTTTTATACCTTTTATTTACATTTTTAATGATGGGTCATAGTTTATATCAAAGTACCCCATGGGTACCTTCATACAAATTTTTAATGTTCCTTTAAATAGTCTCAAATTTTTAATCTGCTATATTATGGTAATTAATGAATGGTGGTAATAAATTTAATCTACAAACTAAACCAATCCTAGTTAGCAAGTATATAATGGTCCGATAATGGCTATCCAATGCGAGTGAATTCTTTTAAGGGTAGCCGCAAAAAAACCATTATAGTCCAGTTGTTTAAGGTTATTACCCGGAAAAAATTCTAATAAGCTGAAATTTGGCACATCTCGTAATATAATATAGTAACACCAAAGAAACCCCCCGTTGTTAGCCTTTCGGGAAAACGAGTTAATGACATTTTCCCATAATTGCTTAATTTCACTTTATGTTTTAACCTCAGAAAATAGGTTTATAAAAATATGATATTAATTAAAAACGATTTTGATTTTAAATATGTTTTTTATTATATTTTTTTGGTTTAAAAAAAAAAAAAATAAATAAATACAAACTTTTTAAAATACTTTAAAAAGTTTGTATTTACTTATTTATTTTTTTTTAAACCAAAAAAATATAACAAAAAACATATAAAAGCAAGTTAAAACCAAAAAACACGTAAGGTAATTAAGATAATAATTCATTTTGAAAATTCTTATATCGGCACTTTCCCTTTTATTGATTGTATATTCTGTTCTTTAGAAGTTTAATAATAACTTTTTTTATCCAAAAAACAATGAATGAAGAGAAAAAAGAATGAATAATCTGTAAAGAACAGTTATCAAATCCAACGACTCTAGGTACAAAGGAATTGAGAAGACATAAACGTCTTTGTATTGAGCGGGATTTCGAAGAAATAAATCGAGAAATTAATTTCAAACTGGAATCTATATATTCAAATGACGCTAGAAATGCTAAATCTTTTTGCAAGTTATGGTCATATAAACTATGCAAAGTCAGCAAGATTGTATGCTCAATAGATGATATCTCTAGGTAGTTTGCACCCGTGGCTTGAAGATTATTTTAATAATAAAAAACATGCTGCACGTCAAAGTTAACGCTTCTGGGGTGTTCTGTGGTTGGATTTAAATTTAGAGCAGACACTTATTCAATCTATCAAAAGCCGAGGAGGCTTAAGAAGAGGACGCGGTATAAAAAAGAGCACAAGGCACTTATGAGTATTAAGTGCACATCATACTGTTGCGATTAACGATGCAATGAATTTCTTTTCAAACTCCACAATAATAACTTGTGAGCAACATGTAGATCTCGGTCAATCACGAATGAAACAAGATGCGAATGATTGGAAAAAGTTTTATGACTGGCTTTCAAATAGAAATCCTTTTTCCTTTAATGATAAAAACTTACATTCATTGTCATCTGATTTTATTTAAATACTAGGTAAAAATGCAGTAAATTGCGAGCTAGCAGAAGAAGTTGTTAAAAGGGACAACGACGAGGAGAAACATTTTAGAAAAACCTTCATTGAAAAAAGCTATGCTGAAAGATGCAGTAGCTATTGAAACTAATATGATAGATGAGAACAGCATATACTTGGTTGACGGTGGTTGACGGTGGTTGACGGTGGTTGACGGTGGTTGACGGTGGTTGACGGTGGTGCACTTATACGCTGCGTTGTTGGGCTAAAAGTCTACACCTTTAAAGAAATTGTTAACATTTATTTGAAATACATTTGCAAACAATTCGGATCAGTACAAATAGTGTTTGATGGATATGAAATTCAATCAACTAAAAATGCTGAACACGCGAGAAGATATGCCAATAAACAATGTCCTCATATTGAAATTAAAGAAGAAAACATTGTTCAGGTTTCTAAAGTAATATTTATGGCAAACAAAACAAACAAAAGCCAATTTATCAAGCTACTTTCACACTGTTAAAAAAATGACGGGAACACTTCTATCAATTGCCCTGGCGATGCTGATACAACCATTTGTCGTACAGCAATTTGTTTCATTAAACTCTGAAAAACAAATTATTGTGGTTGCTAATGACCCAGGTATTTTTGTTATATTTGTTCCCCATAAGCAACACGAAATGGATGATATTATTTTCAACGAACATCGTCTGAATAAAGGATAGAGTATGAAGCATCAAGTCCAACTGTGAACAATATAAAAGACGACATTCTGTTTGTCCATGCTATGCGTGGATGTGATACAATATCCGCTCTCTTTGGCAAAGAAAAAAAAATACTTTTTGACCTTATTGTTAAAATCAAAATGCAGCAGATTTATGAATGTTTGGGCATTAGAAAAAGATATTGGCAAGGCATCAATAAAGCATTTGTAATAATGCGTGGCGGAAATCAAAATGACACCCTCACATCTCTTAGGTAATAATTAATTAAATGTTTTCAGTAAAAAATAAAACTAACTCCTTAAACGCAATAGTATGCAAATGTATTTAATTGCATATCTTAAATTAAAACTGAAAAAATATAAACTCTTTTAGATACAAGAAATATCTTGAAATGGCATGTAAGGGATTCATTGAGCCTGCTAAGTTGCCACCATCGGAGCGAACAGCTTATTAATATGGATTATGAGTGCGTTTACAGGCAAGCTATTATATTAATTTAACTCGCTCTAGACAGTACTACACCCTTCAATTAGGGGTTTCTATTTTTATTTTAGGTTGTTGTTTGGAAAATAC